CAGCTCAAGCCTTCGCCAGCTAACTCAGGAGCCCACACCTGTGCGCACACTCGTAAATACAGCGATAAGGGTTAGTGAAACCGCTGGGATTTTTAGAGCTTTGCCAGTGAGTAAACAATGGCACATTTTATTTTGGACATTATGCAAAAACAATCTATTACTAAAGAATGAAAGCCTGCTTAGCCACAGAAAAAAAAACTTTAATTATTTATTTAATTATTTTATATCTGTTTTTCTAAATGATTTCTTGCAATTATAGGTTTTTATGCCTTCACATATTCCTCACACATTTTTCTTTTTTTTTTTCGATTCTAAGTGATTATTTTAACCTGTTAGCCAGAACTCACTTAGTGAAGTTTGTTTATAAGCTAAAGAGGATCACATGCTTATGATTGATCACAGCTGGTCCTGCATTAGCCAGTTCAGACTATTCCTATTTCACCATAAACAACCTAAGTTCCATACCACAGTCATCTTTGTTTTGAAGATTTCCCCTTCCATCAATACAGACCAGTGGTTATCACTGTCTCAAAGCAAGTACGTCACTGGTTCTAGTCCTTACCAAGCAAGTCGACGTTTCTGTTTACATGTTCTTGCTGTGCTCGCGTGGGATTCTCCCGGTGTCCTCCCATCATCCAAAAACATGCAACTTAAGTTAATTGACTAATCCAAATCAGCACCATAAATGTGCTCATAACAAACCCTAATTGTTTATTAGCAATTCTCGAGATTCTCGAGAGCTACCTGAGCTCAAACTCCCCTCTCTGCCTTCAAACGGGAGGGAGCCCCAGGCACGAGGATCTTATGAGCTCTCTTCAGGGACAGCCAACACACTATATAATCAATCATCAGCTAAGTGTGAACTTTTAAATGAATATTTAGACCCACCTAACTGTAAGTAGGAACATTACTTGATCCCAGACAAACAAAAAAATAGGTATCATTTGAAAAAAAACCTTTGAGCTTTACTATGGTCCATTTAGAAAGTTTCAAGCTAAAAAATCTAAAAAGTTATACATTATAATACATTAAGTTATTACATAAAAGTAATGAGAAAGAAATAATAATCACATTATACACTTGCACGATTATTTCTCACAAATTTGAGTTTATTTATTGTGATTTGAGAATTCTTTCTTGCTGATTCGCATTTGCATCTTTAAGTCAATACTGTGTGATCCAAGATCAAAATTCTGAGAAAAACACAACACTTTTGAGATTAGAGATGCAAAAAAGTCAGAATATAAATTCTTAAATCATAGAGGAAAAGTCAAACTGTGACATGTATTCTGAGGCAGGAACAATATACACAAACTCAGCATACATTTTGTGTGTGTGTGTGGCTTTAAAAGAAGTTTAATGGGCATCTAAGAATAGCCCAAAACTAGACTAGTCATCAAATTCACAGGGATGAATCACTACATGTCAACTCTGTCTAATCTGTGTATTTGATGTTTTGGGCTATTCTTAGATGTCTCTTCGAGTGCTTTCACACTAGCACTTTTAGTCCGCACTTGGGTTCACTTGATGCCAGAGTTCGGTACGTTTAGCTAATGTGAACGACGTCTTCTGAACTTGGGTGAGGTAGTTTGGGAACGGTTCGCACAAACTTGGATCCGGTTCACTTCTGATATAATTGCAATCATACCAAATAACGGAAGTGAACCGCCAACTGTACAACAAACTTAAGTTTTCTGTGTCTCACTTTCATGTCTATGTATCACTTAATGTTACCTTAGCTACAAGCGGGACTCACCTAGTGCAAACACAGTAATAATATTGTGTGATGTTCTTAATATTTTTGCAACAGATAGAAGCAAATGCTTTCTGTGTGTTACCAAAACCAAAAGATCCATAAAAAGCAGAATGACCACGATTTGCATACGTCCATTGTGGCACCTTGGCTTTCGTGGCTGTCCATCACCTACAGTAACTACAGTACAGCTATACACACAACAGAAGCTCGATGACAAGCGTACTGGGGTTCAGAGGGAAAAAAAGACAGTGTGAACTAGGGCTGCACAATTCTGGCTAGAATGAGAATGACAATTTTTTTTTGCTTGAAATCAAGATCTTGATTTTCTCATGGTTCTGTTGATGTTAAATTATTATTGTTGCTATTCTCAAACATATGGTAAAATAACAATACTAATATTATATATAGGCCTACTGTTGCTTAAAATGCTACATTTCGATAGACTTTGAATGTAAGATTTTAAATGAACAGACTTTAAAAATGTCTTGGTTGTTATTGCACAGTAAAGTGATGACATTAGAATACAACTATTCATAATTCTATAGCTGAATTTTTATGTTTGTGACCTATCCTTGTTATTTGTCATTGGCAACATTATTAGACCATTTATTTCACTAGTAAAATGAAACATTTGTCATTATCAGATTCTCTCTGGCATTATATTCAACATTATATATGCTAGAGTAGTTATACTGACCCAGTAAACATTTATTGTTATGCACAACAAATTGTGTACACTAAGAA